TGGCTCTATCATGTCTTTGCTTATGTTCTTTTTTATGCCTGGGAAACCCTCTACCTAGCCAAGGCTCAATGCAAGATTCTTTCTTAAATCCTCTTAACACTTCAACCTCTGCTCTTTCTACTTTCAACACTTAAAGCATATATAATTTCACAGCTCTTTCCCATCATCCTAAAACATGTTCCACTTCCCTCACTAAAAATGAGGTTTAGCTGGCCTCCCTAACAAGCTACCATTCACCAGATTCCCATCTGTCTTTTCCTTTCTTATCAAACTTTTAAACGGGAACTAGCAAATTCTGCTTTCAGAATGAATTCTTAATGAACTGGTAGAGCTTTTGTTCCCTATGTCTAACTATAAAGAGCGTTCTCAAAAACTAAAGAGGATTTCTTCAGACTCTTTATTATCAAACTTGTGCTCCTCTCCAACTGTGCCCTCCTTTTTTTTAAAGCAAACTGTAAGATTACAGGTTTTTGCCCCACACCCTCCTTACTGCCCCTTACTAGCCAAATTCTCTTTTCGTCCATTCGTTGATTAATTCATTCATTCAGAAATGTATTTACATGGCCTGCTCGGACTGTATAACTCTTCTTGGCTCCAGGAGCACCAGTAAAAAGAAAAATCACAGCCTTTGTTCTGCTTACGTTCTAATGAAAGGATTTAGTTAAGTAAAGGAAATGCATGAGATGCTCACGCCTGTAATCCCAGCATTCTGGGAGGCGGAGGCTGGTGCATTGCCCGAGCTCATGAATTCCAGACCAGCATACCCGCCGGGAACTTCCCACCTGGTCGCCGCCCGCCCAGCCTCTCAGCCACCTGAATCCCAAGAGGCGTAGCTCCGAAAACCCAGAACAGGGATCGCCGCTTATTATGCGTTTCTGCGTGCCCAAGCGCGACCTGGGGGCAAGCATGCGCAATGGACAGAGTCCCAGAGTTCGCGGGAATCTGGGCCGCGTCTGTTTATGATTGGCTGCTACGGCAGACTCCCGCCCACCGAAACCCAGCGCTGGATGCTGATTGGGTGTATCCTCAGAGGCCGGACTCCGCCTGCGGGGTGAAGGAGGGGAGGCGGGAAACAGTGTAGTGGGTGCGGGGTC